AGGCGCCAAAGGTAAAGGCATCTTTCAAGAGGCAGCCGCCCATGAGCACAAGAAGCCAAGCAAGAAGACCAAGAAGGAGGAGGAGAGCGAGAAGAAAGAGGATTGGGCACAGGGCGCATGAGCAAGAGGAAGAGGGAGGGGAGGAAGAGGAGAAGGAAGAAGGCGTGCTTTTTTTAAACAAGACGATACAAAGAAGGACAAGTCAAAGGATGGAAATTTCAAGGCCTTCATGAGATCCCTGACTGGGTCATGCAACGGGCTGGAAGAAGGTTGAGAACATGAAGAGAGGAAGAACAGAAGAACAAAGGAGAAAACGCGCTGCACCGGTCGGCAAACCCAGCGACTGGGCGAGGTCGTCCGGTAGCTGGAACGGACGAGGTGTTACGGACGCCCGAAAGACACGCGGATGGTGCGACGGCGCGGAGCACCCTTGTGGTCAACTTGGGCACAACAACCCATCACACCTAAATGCAACAGCAGTGCAGCAAGTCAGATGCATCAACCAAGGACAATAGGCAAGTTTTGGGTTGAACATTGGGGCAGTGCTTACCTTTGCCTGAGTGTGTTTGCTGGTGCTTTTACCCAAGTGATTGCACTTCGGTTCTGTGTGTTTTGTCAAACGCTTTCTTGAAGGCATGTCGTTTCATCAGAAAATCTTACCCTCTGACTCACTAACATGGAAGTAGAAAATGGTCCCTTGGAAGACTACTTTTCTCTACCAACAAGGGGTTTTCCACTTCCATGTTAGTGAGTCAGAGTGTAGACATGTACAAGCCAATTTATATGAAACATATCAAACACCTTAGTGAAAAAGACATGTACCTAAATCAAATTTAGATTGACTTTACTAATCCTTTTTGCACTTTGTGTAGCCTAAATTCATGATTTAAGGGACACAATTTGTCCATCGTCGCCGAGTGTGTTTGACCCGATCTTTTGCCCGCGCGTTCCACCTGCGTTCCACCAGAGCGGGGGCATCACCAAACCGTCCACCGAACCAACCCCCTCAAAGACGTTCATCAAACCCGCTGGGGATTCGTGCCGCCAACGAAGACACTGCGCGTGAAACCCCTTTTCAAACGGTACCTGCCTGTAACGGTTGACCATCTGTCTACTGGGCGACTGCTATCGACTGGCCTTCTCCCACCGGGACCTTCGCGACTGCTATCGCCACGGGGATGCCCGGATGGACCGGAACGGAGCCCTCGTCCAGTCCGACGGATCGGCGGCGTGAGATGGAAAGCCACTCTGGAGATGGGGGGTGTTTTTCTCCATTCAACAGTCCACATGATCCTGGCGCCTTGGTGGAGCGTTTTTGGCAGGTTTGGAGACCGAAAAACGGCAGATCAGCGAGGTGGCTTCAACCCGGATTTGGCCGTGCGGGGTTGGCAGGGTGTCTGAAACGAAGTTGCGGCGTTAAAGCATGGCCCAGACATTCTATGTATGGCATACATGCCGGGGTGCTGATGGTCTCGCATAGCCTACAGATTTCAATGAGGCGATGGGGAGATTTGAAGATCAAACATCCTTTCATGCTGGTTGGAAGCGAAATCACCGGGTCCTTCTTTCTAAATCCGGCTCTTTGGGTTCGCACGTCTGGCGACATCTTGCCCGCCAGGCCTTCCGGCGCTTTGACACGGACCACTCTGGGCATTTGGATGAAGATGAGTGTAAGAACATGTGGCCTGGTTCAGGTTGAAAACACCAGGAGCGAAGGTCTTCTGCACATCGGAGGGTGATGCCATAAAATTGGTGGTTTGGCGTTCCTGTTCTTCACCCACCACCCCTTGGGGCCCCGGTATAGATGCACATCTAGGCACGCGGACGAGGGACTGCGAGAATGGTAGTGCCATGCGAAAGCACCACTGGAAGTTTCTTCGTTCTCGGAGTTGTATGGAACCTGGCCCTAGGCCCTAGGGTGTGAGTTGTAGAAACTACCCAGGATCGAGTCCGCAATCATTCTCAGGATCTCTAGCTCAGTCTGAGCTGAAATTCCATCAAAAGATATCACAAAATTGCAAGCCTATTTACCCTCAGTGGCACTTCCACAGGGCTTTGATTGATTTGCCACCATCCATCCCTCTCCACATCTGAGAGTCGTGCTGATTCTGAGGTGTGCCTATTTAGGCTGGGGCTTGGAGGAGGCTAGCCTCATCGATCTGGTGCCTTGCCGCACCACCACGGTAGATACATCACGACCACGTAGGCGACATTGCGCGTCGTCAGTCCCACGATTTCCATGTCGAGGAGACTCATCATGGTGCGTTTCGAAGGAAATTGGATCCCAATAGGGATCTATAGGGACTGTATACGTCCTCCTGTAGGTGGTCGACATGTTCAAGTTCTCGGATCCACGGCCAGCGCCACCTTCTCAGGGTCGGTATATATGGCTTGGACCTGGAAAAAAACCGACACAAATGAGAGAAAAGATATCAAAAGTCTCTAAAATCGCCTTTTCAAAGGTGATGTAACGGGCAGTGCAGCTCCTAGGACATGGTTGCCTTAAGGGTACACCTTTTAGCCCATTCCGGGGTTTCAGCTTGGGGCTCCCGAGGACAAGGATGGCCTCATCAAGCTCCACGATTTCCAGGGCTTCGTCGGACATATGGGAGGTGCCGCCCGGCACGTACCGCCCACCACGACGCCTGCCGCGCACGCCTGCCGCGCACGCCTGCCGCATGCTGGCGGTGCACTTTCTCGTGGGTCTCGGGTAGAGACTTTCCAGGTTCATGTGCGCTTCAGTGACTGGTAGGGGTTTTACGACAGACAACATGTGATTGGAAGACTGTACAGCAGATGTTGCACGTTGAAAATTCTGTTCCTTGGTTTGGTGGAGAACGTGTGATGTTTCTTTTGCGGATGAACTCCCTGTCAGGAGGAAGGTTGTATTCCCTAAGCAGTGTGGTCACACATTCGTTGTTTTTTTAAAAATAGTAAGTATAGGAGTTGGAAAAGGAGATGTAAAACCACTCTGCGAGGGGGCTATGAATCAATACTTATGCACTAAAGTTACGGAATCATGGATTCTTTTTGTTTTACGTCTTGGGTATTCTTGGGTTCCGTTTGAACATCTTTGGGCACCGTCGTGGCACCGTCAGGTGTTCAACAGCTCTTCGAACATCGACGCCTGCGCATCTCGTCCAGCCGCAAGGCGCACCATAGCACCGTGGGGTTCGTAAGGTCGGCAAACTAGAGGGTGTATAGTATAGAGGTTAGAAGGGGTTCTTCAGATCACGTGTTTTTCGTGGCAGAATGAATAGCTCATTATTTCATGTGTTCATGAAACTTTCAGGATCTGTTTTGCAATATGTTTCAGTCCCCCCAGAGTTGCCAGAACACAGCTCCTAAACCTCTTTCCCCTACTCGGGCTATGTCAGTTTGGAGTGTATCTTTTCCAGCAGTAAACATCGGAATTTCATGACATTTCTGATTCCGTGATTCTGGGTGGTTTTTGTTACAATCTTCCTATTTTTTATTTATAGAGAGAGAGGAGCGTTGGAGATAATCATCTCTTTGATAGATGGAATGGAACCGAGTATCAATCAAGAACATGTTCCTTGAGTGGGTGACACACACGCAGGTCAACATGCTTTAGAGTCAGCTCCTGTTTATCACGCCTTTATCTTTGGTGCACCGGCAGTCGAAGCCAGCCGCAGGATGTGTGTGATCATGCTGGTTTGGCTGTTGGCTCTCGTGTACGCGCACACTTCTATTGCCATGGCCACAAGAGCAGGTCCTGGAGAGAGGCGAGAGGGGCAGGGAAGTTTCATCAGTGGTGTAGGGTAGTGTATTGGTGACTCGTTGTATGATTCAGGCAGGTCACAGTCACAGTTGGTGTTTTGGCCACGACATTGAAGTTGCAAGCTTTCTGACACAGCTGGTGGCGTAACCTGGTCCTGCAGGAAATCATACGTACTGAACCTGTTCTCCAGCAGCATGCGATGCTTTCTCCCCAACCCGAATCCCATAGTTTATGTCACTCCAACACCGGACAACTCACTGAGTGTGTCACCGTCCCAACTTCCTCATCCCTGGCAGCCCGCAGTTCCCGCGCACATGCGCACGCGTGCCAGGCTCAGGTGTTGGCTGTTGGCGTTGAAAAGCGGCCGCAAGGCGACAGGGTGGTGAAAATGGCTTTGTGGGATTGTATGGGGGTGACTTCAGTTTGACAGGGAGCTGCTTGGAAAGACCTGGGTAGGAGCTGTCAAGGTCGACCTGCAAACTCTTCCGAGGGGATGGAGCTCTTCCATGGAATGTTTATGGAATGTGTATATATATATATATGTCATAGGTTTACTTTTGTGAAACGCGTATACTCACCAGCCTAGGATCTCCAGGTGTCTCGTCACGCTTGACTCTCACCGATGCCAGAAGGGGCTCGAGGTGGGAGGGCTGGGAGCCATAGCGCTTGAGGAAAAGCGCGAGCCATAGGTCGGGCTGCGGTGGAGCGGTGCTCCAACCTTTTGGACAGGGTCCATTCCTTTGAGGTTGTGTTCCTCTTGAAGCAGGGCTTCACTGGAAACGGGGTTTCCACCTGTTGTTGTTGAGGTTGGCCCGCTACCAATTTCACATTGGTAGCGGAGCCTGTTGCTCCGAAGAGTGGGATCCAGGGCTCTGCTGACCAGTGTGACGGTCGTGCTCTTGCGTTCGAACGGACGATAACCGGACACGGTTGACAGTTCTTGCATTTCGAGCGGACTTCACCTGACAGCTTCAATTTTGATCTTGCATCACGTGGCTGCGTGTTGTCATACAACGTTGACATTGGTTGCTTTGTTGGTTGCTTGGTGTTGACCGTCGGCCGATCACATTGAGCATTGTACATTGCTGGAACGTGTTGCTGCTTGGTGTTGTACATTGAGCATCGGTGCATTGTTCATTGCAGGCGAGCATTGTCGGTGGGCTGACATTGTTGCTTTAGACTTTGAAAGGGTGCATTGAGTTGTGCAATTGACACATTGAGCATTGAAGGCGATACGCCTTGTTGACGGTTTGTTGAAATGCCTCCACCAGTGGATGCATCGTCGATTCCTGTTCCCGAGGAGGCCTCGGGCAGCGTGTCGAGTTCCACGTCGCTCCCATGGTCCAGTCTTCCTAAGTTCATTCCTGGAACGACGAATGTCCAGGAATACACTCAAAAGATGAAATTCATTGCCAGCATCTGGCCAAAGGAGCATCTTGAGGTGCTAGCGCCCCGTGCGGCGTTGTTGGTTGAAGGTGCGGCTTTCCACAAGGTCATGAGGATTTCACCTGAAAAGTTGAAGACCAATTCAGTTGACGGGGTCATCACCCTGGTTGAGACTCTAGGTGGATCCTGGGGCATGACCATGCTGGAAGAACAGTATGAAACTTTTGAGCGAGCCCTCTATGGCACCCTGCAGAAGAGCGACGAGAGCCACGACTCGTATGTCGCCAGATCAGAGGTGCATTTTGAAGAGCTGCTTGCAAGGGGCACGACCCTTGAGGAGATTCGAGCGTATGTCCTTTTACGCCAGTCGACATTGTCACCCGATGACCGCAAGAAGATTGTTCTTGACCAAGGTGGCAAGTTGAGGTATCCTGAGGTCACTAAGGCCTTTCGTTTGCTGGGCAGCCGTTTTTTCCAAGATTTGCAGGGCAACAAGAGTTCAAAGACTAAGGTCTATGATGTCAATTTGACAGAATGTGATAGCGAACCGGCTTTTGCTGCCTCCCATGATGCAGAATCAGGGGTCTCGCATCCAGCGTCATCGACGGAAGCACTCACCTTCTTGACTGCGTTGGACGACGAAGTTGATGGAGATTACATTGAAGCACTAGTCGCCCAGAACGACGAGGACGCTTGCGCAGTGCAACAATTCGAACAGGAATTGGAAGAGTTTCTGCAGGATACTCCATCGATGCATGATGCATTGGTGACCTACATTGATGCGAGACAGAAGTTGCAAGACAAGCGGAAGACCCGAGGATTCTGGCCAGTGCAGTCGAGTTCAAATCCCTACTCCAAAGGAGGAAAAAAGGGTAAGGCTGCGAAGGGAGGAGGCAAGGGAAAGAAGCGCGTGAACAGCTCTTGGCACGGATCGCTAGATCACATTGTCGAGCTTGCGGTGAACGCGGACACTGGCGGGCTGAGTGTCCAAATCGTGCCAACTCAAGCACCACTCAGACCCGTGAGAGTGCGAACCTGGCTGAAGCATCTTTTGACTCAGGCATTCCACCACTTTTGGAAAGCCTTTCGGATCCAGCTGAAGATGTTTTGGAAGTGTTTTCCGATGCCTCTCAGGCCAGTGTCGATCGACCAACCGATTTCGAGAGCATTGTTGAAGGGAGTAAGGTAGATAGGGGTTGTAATCTTGGGGATTCAGCCACTGCCTTCGTCATTCAATGTTCAAGTGAGCAACATCAAAGATTAATTAAGAACATGCAGGCATTTTGCCATCGATTCCGAAAGCCATCCGATTCGGACACGTCTCGGTCACATGACTCTCGCCCGGCCAGGAATGAAGAGAAGCCAGAACACCGGCCCTGTGCGATGGACAATAGCTTCATCGCTTCGAGCGATCACCAGGCCTCACATGCAATCTTAGACACCGGAGCCTCACGATGTGTGATAGGATCAACTAACATGGAACTGTTTTTGCAAGAATTGGATTCCACAATTCAAGAATCCATCAAACGCGTTGACAGTAAAGTGAAGTTTCGTTTTGGCAACGGTGCACATCTGACTAGTGAGTGCCGCATCCTTTTGCCGCTGATCTCTGGAGAAGATCAGAAACGTTTGTGGTTGACCATAGAGGTTGTGCCTGGCTCAACACCCTTCCTTTTTTCCAAGAGAGCTTTCAAGCTGTTGGGTGGAGCCTTGGACACTCGTTCAGACACCTGCGTTTTGCATCGTCTAAAACGGAAGCTGCATTTAGATGTGAACAAGTCAGGTTTGTATCTACTGAATGTAGCTGAACTGTGTAGTCGTCCATCCTCAGGCCACCAGGTTCCGAGCCATGAGACCTCAGATTTTGTAGGATTCAGCAGTCTTTCATCCAATGTGTCGGAATCCCAGCGCAGCAAACAGGTCAAGACTTCGAAGTTTCTCGATCGCGCACACCCCCGTCCTTTCGGGAATGCCGCCACGTGCCGAGATCACCCAGGGGATTCGACAGGTGTCGGAGGTCCTAATCCAAGTCCTCTCGATGCTTCTGCATTGCAGTCTCCAGATCATGGAGAATCCGACAGCCATCGATGCCGAAGGGGACATGCCGGTCAACGAACTCCAGACCATGCTCATCGAACTCCAGAGCCAACTCCAGAGCCAGAGGGCCATGTTGGAAGATGTTTTAGAACAGCTTCCAAATCAGAGAGGCGCTTCCAGTCCGGCAAGAGCTGGAACAATGCGCAATCCTCCATCACCGAGTCAAGCTCCAGGACTTCAAGCTCAATCGGAGACCTCGGAGACAGCATGGGAACTGTTGGTGACCGAAGAACTGATGCAGCATGCTCAAGTCCAAGCTGTCACGACACCCGTTCCGACAATGACACCAGCCGCTGTGTCAACGGTCCGTGCAACGGGAACTTCATCCTCGACTCCGATGCCCAGCATGTCCTCACCGGGCACGGCGACCTCTCAGCCGCTGACCGATCAGCACGTGCAGGCCTGGCCCGTGATTCCCGAACCCGATCAGCTGCCCAACCTGCCTCCGGCGTTGGGTATGTGGGGAACCAAGCCAATTGGCTGGGGAAAGAAGCACAAGGGGAAGGATTATCGCACGGTGCGCAACGAGGACCCCGGATATGTCCAATGGCTGATTCAGCGGTTCGGAAGTTTAACTCCCGAACAGAAGGACTACGTGGCCTATGTCCGATCGATGAACACGTGGCTCCGCACTGTCCAGCAGGGACAAACAGCCAATCGAATTCCGATTCCATGAACTTGACGCCTTTTGAGGAACATGCCCAATGTCTGTTGCACAGCGTTGCCAAGCTAGATCAGCTGTTCAATCCTGAACTCAAGGGGGATGTTCAATACATGCGTGAAGAATTGAAGAAGGAATCGCCGAGCTGTGATGTTCCATCCCTGGACGCTGCTGAAGCTTTAGTCCATGACGTGTATGCGCAAGCCAACGTGCTCTCAGGACCTCGCCCTCGCTTGCATTTGCTAGAGGTGTATGCTTCTGAAAACAGTCCTTTGACCGAAAGCATTCGTCAGTTAGGAGGTTCTGCTAGGAGGTTCACATTTCAGGATGGAGACCTCTCAACCTTCACAGGCAAGCGAAAGCTGTGGGAACTGATTGAGCACTGGCAACCAGAGCATATCTGGTGTTCCCCGGAGTGTGGCCCGTGGGGAGGATGGAGCCGATTCAATCTGAATCGCAGTACACGGTCATTTGAACATGTCATGCAATCAAGATTTGATCAAGGAAAACATCTAAAGCTATGCCTGGATTTGTGCCAGTACCAGCGTCGACATGGCCGTCATTTTCATTTTGAACATCCACTGGGCTCTGATGCCTTTGCCACTTCCCCCGGACAAGCCATGCAGAAGTTGACCTTGCCGATTCACCTGGACATGTGTGCATTCGGACTGAGGATTCCAAACACACAACTGTTTCTTAGGAAACGAAGTCACCTGCTGTCCACATCCGAGTTTGTTCAAAGCCACTTACATGATAGAAAATGTCCTCAAACGCATCAACATGTGTCGATTGCAGGATCCTATACAACATCAACGGGAGGCCTCAAACTATCCAAATTTTGTGCAACCTATTGTAAGGGGTTTGCCAACAAAGTGGCCCGTGTGATCCTAGACACTGTAGATGATCCCGTTAACTATCATCCAAACATGGCTTTTGCTCATCAGGACATCGAGGGAGAACCGGTAAGCAAGAGACGTCGCGTTGATGATGTCTTTCATCCATCCACATTGACCCTGAGGCCTGACGTTCTCTCTTTTGGAGATGAGGTTCCACCGGAACAGCATGATGTTTGGAAACGCATATTTCAGGACGCTCATAGGTTGGCACCAAGGGTAGGGAACCGAAAGATACAGCTCGACGACCCCACATTCATTGCATTTCGAGAGATCAATCCACAGATTCAATGGACACATCTTTTTGTTTGCCGAGGCACCGAAAGATTTCAGGTCCCGTTAGATTCCCCATCAACTAGTGAAGCAGACGTTCGACATACCTGGTGTCTCCATCGTCAAACGCTGAAACTGTTGGACATGGGTGAAGACAATTGGTCGAACCTCACTCGTGCTCAGAAGATCCGTGCCAGCGTTCCTAGTCGCTTGACGCTCACAGCTTTCGGCCGTCGATCCGATAGCCTCGCTGAGAGAGCTCCACGGTCGCATGAGTCACATGAACATGAACGTCCACCTGCAGGAACGCCAGATGAAGAGCAAACGTTCCGAGATGTGCCAGCAGTAGATCCCCGATACACAGACAGACATATAGCGGTACCTCAATCAGAACAAGAACTAGGTAAGCAAATATCCATTCCCGAAGGTTGGGCACCTCCGCCGACACCGATTCATGGTCCAGCTTTTAGAAGACTCTCAAGTGTTCAAAAACAAGAACTTGTGAAGCTACATAAGAACCTAGGACATCCAGATCCCATCAAGCTGAAAGCCCACTTGATTGCACAGAAGGCTGACCCTGCGATAATTGAGGCTGTCCTTGAATACGCATGTGATGCATGTCTTGAGTCCATTCAAGTCAAACATCAACGTCCCGGAAAGCTTCATGACCCCAAAGACTTTAATGATGTAGTGGGTTTAGACGGCATTTTCTGGAAAGGTCGGGCGGGTTTCCAAGTGTATATGATTCACTGTGTCGATGAATGTTCAACCTTTCAGTTAGCCAAAAGGACAACCTCTCGTACCGCAGAAGATACCACCTCACTGTTTCAGGACTTTTGGATGTCATGGGCCGGAGCACCCACTCACGTGTATGCTGATCCTGCAGGTGAATTCACCTCTCAGGTGTGGATGGATTTTCTCCAAGCAAATAGCATCACCTCATTCATGTCCTCTGAAGCCTGGCAAAAGGGTCGCATTGAAAGACACGGGCAAGTTTTGAAGCAGATGTTGCACCGTGTGGACCAAGACCGCATGATTCGAGATCTCCAAGATTTCGATAGGACCCTCGCGGCGTGTTGCATGGCCAAGAACCAGATGGCTCGACACAAGGGCTATTCGCCAGAACAGATTGTCCTTGGCAAGGCGACTCGAATACCAGGATCGCTCACTGGAGATGAAACCACGAGTGCACACACGTTACAAGATGACAACCCAGAAACGTCAAAGTTCCATGAAACTCTAACTAGACGAAATGAAGCACGAATAGCCTTTTTAGACGCTGATAACCATCAAGCAATTCGAAGGGCTCTGTTGCGAAGATCCTGCCCTGTTCGAGGACCTTTCCATCCAGGACAGTCGGTCATGTACTGGTTCCGTAGAAAGAATGTCTCTCGAGGTGAAAGTGGCCGGTGGTATGGTCCAGCGCGTGTCATTCAACAAGAGGGACAATCCACTGTATGGCTAAGTCACCAAAACCGTGTTATCAGATGTCCTCCAGAGAACCTTAGGCCCATGTCCCTAAGAGAATGGAACCAAAATCAAACATCCGAAAACCCGACTCCATTGACAGATAATCCTGCCAATTCTCGAGGAACTGCCGTAGATGCCGATACTCGTTTTCGGTCACTTCAACCACATCGCACAAGCCTGTCAGTTCCACCAACACCTGATGCCCAACCCGAAAGAGAAATTACCCCGAATATCCCGCTCGAAGTGCCAGAACTCCCGCCCTCAACGGCAAGCCAGCCTTTGAATGAAGAAGACACTCGAGTCATGGGAGAAGCCATTGATCTTGATCCAGACCCTCCGGTAGAAGAAAATGATGAAGAACAACTGATGGATCAAGCTGCTTTCATGGAGACTGAAGTAGGACTGCTCATTCAATGCCTTTCAAACGATTTCGCTGAACCAATCGACCATATGTCACCAAACCTCGTGACATGCGAAACAGCCATGTTCGGCGAGGCAGGAGACTCATGCCTCCTGGCCGACGATGGGTTTGCCTTCGTCGCTGAAACCCTCCAGCCGACAGAAGAAGAAGGATTTGCCCTAGAGATTCCCCTTACCGATAAGGATTTAATAGCCTGGGCATCTGAAGACAACCCCGAGCAAATGGCACATGTAGCGACAGCTGGCAAGCGGGCAAGAGCAGAGGTTCAGCTTCAGAAATTGTCCCATGAAGAAAAACAGTTGTTTGTTGCAGCAAAGGATCTTGAGCTATCGTGTTGGTTGCAAACCAACGCAATCAGGCCTATCCTTAGGCAGAAACTCAACCCCGAGCAGATCCTTAGATCCAGATGGGTATTGACCTGGAAAGAGAGCGACGACCCCCGTCGTAGGAAAGCGAAAGCTCGCTTAGTCGTATTAGGATTTATGGATCCGAGACTTTGCGAGGTGGAGCGTGACGCACCCACCCTCACCAAGGAGGGCC